CAGCCAGAGACAGACAGAGAGACAAGAGAGATAGAGAGAGACAGATTTAGAGAGATTTAGAGAGAGAGAGACAGAGACAGAGAGACAGAGACAGAGAGATGGAGAGAGAGAGAGAGAGAGAGAGAGAGAGAGAGAGAGAGAGAGAGTGTTTGAGGATAAATGTTTGGAAAAATAGATGTTGATCCTGACTGGAGCAGGACAGAGTGCTCATGTGCACCACAACATCACATGAAACTTCAGATATGTGAATACTTTTTATGTTATTGTATATCAGTTAAAATAGTTTAACTAAAATATTATTAAAATTATTTTTAATGTTTTGATCATAAAAATTATAAATGTTTGTGGAGATAGACATGTTTACCCTGATGTGAAAATTTACAAAGTGTGTTCATGTATCTACCCGTCACATGGCAACCCATACTTCCGTATAATTTTGTGAATCAATTAAAACTAAATACTGAAAAGGTGCTAGAGTTGGATCACTATTTTCTGGGATTTTTTTCAAACTGTCAAGAAATGAATTTAATGAAGTATAAAATGCAAGGTTTCATACTGTCACTTCAGATATTAATTTGTTCTTCCACTCAAAGTGACAGTGACTTAAGCTATAGAATCTAATGTGTTGTCATATTTTTACTGATATATTTTATTTCCACATATGTCATCTATTAAGTGTAAAACCTTTTATGTATGACCTCCTGGAGTCCGCTACATTTTATGCATTTAACTTTGTTTCTATTCCTATTCCCAGAAATCATGATTGAAGGTCACTCTGCTTTCACTTTTATTTAGAAATAGGGAAATAAGGCTTTTTTCATACCTCAGATTCAGCACTTTCAAATTGCAAATTAAAATCAAATCAGGTCTAGAAAATTTCCACAGGTGAAACAAAATCAAGCAGTGTTAGCTGAGCCTGTAGGTTCTAATTTTAAGGCCCCTGAAGTTGTGTGCATGGATATGCAAGAATGTACATCTTACTGTAGTCAAGATGGCTCAGCTATAACCTGCAGGCCCCTTCTCCTGTCATGCGATCAATCCAGTTTCTTCTTCTACATTTTTCCCCAAAATGAATTGTTTCAGACGTTGTGAGGGTCCTAGACTAGTTTCAATGAAGTTCTCATTCTTTAGCTTGACTACATTAATTATCATGCTCCGCGAATACACGGCTTGAATCAACTGTGGTGCCGGTTTTATAGGATGACGTATGCCTCCCTCATCAATCCAGAACCTCAGAATGTGGAAACAAGTAGTTGCAGATATAATTAGTTAAGGTGAAGTCATGCTGCTGTAAGGTGGCTCCAACTTGGTTATGAATAATATCCTTATGGCAAGGGCAATTGGAAACTTTGTTTTTCTTTCTGTCCCTGTCTCTGTCTCTCTGCCTCTCTCTCTCTCTCTCTCTCTCTCTCTCTCTCTCTCACACACACACACACACACACACACACACACACACACACCTGAGTACAATGATGAAAGGAAAGTACCGGAGATAGCCAGGAGACCACCAAAATCTACAAGAGTGTCATAGGGAAGATTTTTTCCTCACTCTTCAGAGCCAATCCAGGTGACCCATTGATTTTGAACTTCTTACTCTATGTCAACAACATTTTGTCACTCTTAATAATTAATTTGTGGAACTTTTTTTTTTTTTTTACTTTAACACTGATAAGCAAATGTAAGCAGAAATAAAAGGATGTAAAGGTTACAAAGAGATCAGAATGTGAGACAAGAAGACAAAGAAAGTTATTCTTGCTAAATCTGTCTTGAATGCAGGTGACAGATCACAAAGGCAACTGCCTCATGGACAGGTCTATGTGGGTGGTCATTACTTTTAAGATCTCTTTGGATGTCTCTGTCTCTCTGTCTCTGTCTCTGTCTCTGTCTGTCTCTGTCTCTGTCTCTGTCTCTGTATCTCTGTGTCTGTCTCTGTGTCTGTCTCTCTCTCTCTCTCTCTCTCTCTCTCTCTCTCTCTCTCTCTCTCTCTCTCTCTGCACTTCACAAGCTTCCACCAAAACTATTTAAAATTTAAATTTCAGGTTGCCAAGGGCTTCCTCGGACAATGAAGGCACTGGTAAGCAATGAAGGCAGAGAATGTTGAGAAGGGCTGTTTTGACTTAATCTCTGTAGCAAGGGGTGTGAGACTGGCCATCAGGTGAAACTGTTCCACTTTATTTCTCTCTTTTTCTTTTTTGAATTGTTATTTTTCAACCTACATGACCCTGAGCTACTCTGAATAAATTAATCACTTTATATGGAGTTTTAGGTTGTCTGATTTTTGGTTTAGAAAAGGTAGAAAATCCAACTTCATCTTAAGGTAAAATGAACTTTTATGTCAAAGTCCAGGGTCATAATGTTAAGTCCAGGGACCTAACTGATATTATTATGAAATTGATTCTTTTCTCAGCTCTACATTATTATTTCTTAGTTGAAATTTTGAAGGTATTTAAGAAGCATATCAGGAAACCTTTTCTTATTTTGGTAGCTTTTAGCAAATACTACATTAATTCTGATGGACCATATTGGGTCATGTGACCATTTGTACACTAATCGTAAAATTCCTCATAGTTACAGACAGAGTGGGTCTATAGTGCATATACAAGTCTGAGGATTTTAAAAAATATTTTATTTAATTTTTAAATTGATGGGCTACCATATAATGTCTATATGTGT